CCCCCCCATCCCCTACTCCTTCCCCGTTCATCCCACAAGACGGGTTTTATCTCTGTCCCTCTTCTTTCCCGTGTTCTCTACGCACTATCTGTCAATTCGTTTGGAAAGCAGACAGCCACTGGTAAAGGCTGTCAGCAAAAACCGGAGTATTGCGGGAAATTTTGGCTGAATGCTCAGTGTGTTGTAGGTGCTGAATGGGCGGATGTCGTCGATCGCCACCGAGGACGATATCGTGGATCGATGGATCGAAATCGACGACTCAATCAGCGTACCCGATCAGACACTCGATGAAATCCTCGCTGATGTAAGAAGCATTTTATCAGCAATTTCCAGTAAAGAAAGCTCTTGAAGTAGTATTCTTAAAGTACCAGTGAAGAGATTAATCAAGATATCATATGCAACGAAAATATCATATCCGGAAGCAATTTGTGTTTCATCTCTTAGCTGTAAATAACGGTGCTGCTCAGTGATCTTTGTTTCGAAGTTGCCCGAAATTCTTGTCTGAATATTTTCACCTGTCTCTGATAATGATATATATTAAGGCTTTTGCAGCATAAATATTCAATTTTTGCTTAACTTTGCGCAAGCGATCGTTCTATCTTATTTTTGCTAAAGTTTAATGCTTTGCCGAAGATTTAGCCCAGGCACAGCGTGCCAGTTAGGAGTGGGAATCATCAGTACAGCCCCCTACTACCTGCCGTATTTATGGTGAATCCGTATGCAGTGTTTTAAGACTAAAGTGACGAGAAGACAAGAGGAAAGTTGTGAGGGATGGAGAAAAGCAGAAAGGAGGATTTAAGTGGAAGACATTGTCCATTTCTCCCTTACTCTTGTTGCAAGATTTCAAACTAAAATAGCGTCACACATTGTTTTCTACACTGAGAAAATGCATGTTTCCTGGGCTTCGCGTCTATCTGCATTTATACCGCGTATTTTCAAGTTACGATAAGCTAGAAAGCTGAAATTTCGTGAACTGAATTTTCGATCGTTGCTTGAGCTTTAGTTTCACTCACTCTCTGCTCTTTCTGTGTTTACAGCTAAGGGATGAAACAAAGGACCTTCCGATCAGTTCGCCTTTATTTAGGTCCATTATCTCAGATTCTAAATCTGCAGTTTTGATCTCAGCTTAGTGATTAGGAATTTTGTGCACACATCCAGCACATTTTTTTTTTGATGGATACAAGTAAAAGACAGTACAGGCCGTGGAGACCCTACCAGCATCATATGAATAACGAAGGACGGAGTAAAGAGAAGGAAGAGGGGAGGCGGGGGGGGGGGGG